ATTGTGGTGTATTCTCGAGTATCGAAAATAATCGAATCGTTGGGTCAGGAAATCGATACTGAATCGAATCGCCATGATGGATGTGATTTACACCCCTAGTTAGGTTAGTGTCAAAGTTTTCTGTATCGGCATTGGCTTTCACAAAAGATGGAAGAAGGAAAAAAAAAGAAGCAGTTGATCTCTAATAAAAACCTGCAGCCTTTAAAAAAAAAGATCTTAAAATATTTGCATGCAGTAAACAGAACGAAGCTAAACTTGACCTTTGATTGGTAGAACTTGTTACTGAAGCTTAAGGAGACTAAAGCGAATGTGTCTCTTCAGCAGCAATGGTTTATTACAAGTATTGCAAGTATTTCAACAACCTGTAGCTTTTAACATTAAGAGATGACAGCAGGTGGTGTTCATAAAGACACCCTATGCTTAAACTTTAAAAAATATCATCCTGTTTGCTTTAGTTTTTATTGATACCAGTTAGCTTTTGTTGATAAATCTGCCTAAATTATCACTGAAAAGATGATTATCCTTATGGATGGCATTGTTTCCTAGCTAAGCTGAGAGGGCAGCTGCACACAGCTCATGTTCAGAAGGTGTGAATCACTTCACAACTCTGAAAACTAATAAGTGCATCTGAACAAAACACTTGGAGGACACGTAGAGTCCTTTCCACACAGTCAGAGGGTAAACATGGGGGTTAGAACAAGGGTGTGAACCGTATCAGAGCAGTGAACGCAGTAAACACCAGGATGCAGCAATTCCCACTGCGCTGCTGGACGACCAGACTGAGACGCAGGAGACCCTGGATGCCTGCTTCTAACACATGAAGGAAAGTGAAGACTCAATCTGCATCCAGTAAACACATGTTCAAATCCAGAGACATGACCATGGCACATGCATGAATAAAAGCACACATGTGTAACACCGCTAACTAACTTCAAAAGATGCAGAGAAGCATCGAAGATTAAAGGAACTTTCTTCAAACGCCGTCAGAATCAATTAACGGCCTGTGGTTCATATAAAAGCTTCAGAAACCACAACAAAGACATTTTGGTTCCAGCTTTTCGTCAATGTGAAACAGATCAGAGACGAAGCAAGAATTAGTCTTTAATAGGGAACGTTTACGTGCTGATAAAACTGCTTGTGAATAGGAAGAAAAAGAAAGTTCCAACGTCCAACTTTCTGTTCCTGATGAGTTTATAATAGCTTGAATTTCGAAATGCAAACATTGACATTAAAATACCAACTTAATAGCTTAAAATCAGAGCTCCAATGCACCAATTAATCATCTTTTGGTCCAAAGTGGTCTTTTTTCCCCTTCATTGGCTCAGGGCAACAACCAGCAGGTCAAACACTAAATGTTTAGACACTGCAAAACTAAAAATCTAAACCATGTTCTTTGAAGTTTAAATGGGGAACAGCTAATAATTTCTTCATGATTTTGAACTTTTGAATTTAAACAATTTATATGAGAGCTCAGAATCTGCAGCTAGGACCTTAAAATCAGTGTCGGAGTGTAAATGTCTTTGTTTAATCTTTATTTACATGTCCGATACATGTTCACTTCTTAAAAGGTCGGAATATGTGGTGCTTTTAATTGGTGTGCAGATTTGGCTTCTATAATTTAAGCAAACACGTCCCTCTCGCTATCGAAATTACCTGAACTAATGGGATCTTTATGTATGTAATGCATGATTCTAGATCAGTGAAGTCCACACGGAATAAAGTCTGATGCTACGTTCA